AATGGGATCAAAAACGGGGCAGGGGGGAGAGAAATGCACGGGATTATGGTGATGGCACACGGGTGATTTGGTGATGGGAAACCTGCCGGGATTACAATCGAGATGGAAAAAAAAATGTACAAAATGATGTAAAAATAAACTTTTGTAAAAAAAAAAAATTAAAAAAATAGATAATAAATTTGTGCTGTTTTAAGCCTTTAAAAAAAGTACACTAAGAATTACAGAACATATATAAAATCAGTATTGTCAACATTTACTGTTATAGGATAGGTTCAAGTAAACACAATGTAAATATAAAATAGCATCTTATTACTTAGAAATGTAGCCAAGGTATTTTCTAAAGTCAAATAGAGCAGAATAGAAGATAACATCTAATATCAATACTAATAAGTAAGCAGAAAACACGGAGTACCATTAAGAAAAAGAGTAACCTAATGGATATTTCTCTACAGCACAATGTCTAAGCAATATTAATTTTTTGAACCAACATTTTCATAGTTTGGGGATATTCATTCTTTAGGTAGTTACATAGTAAGTAGCCCACAATTAAAAAAAAAATAATAACCTCAGAGCCAAGTAATTAAAGTTAATCATTAATCCACGTACAACTTTTTTATCATTTGGGTACTCATTGATTACCAGGCACATAACATCTATGCAATGCACACTGTATCTGCATTGAAGCACAATTCCAATGGCTCAAGGCTGAAGCTAGCTATTACTTTATCAGCTTAGCATGAGAATTTAAGATCCAGAATCACATGCAATATACCAACTTTGTTTGGATTCTAATTCATACAGACCATCTTAAAATTTGGTTGGACTGTTGAAATGCTATCAAGGTAATATGTAAAATACTTATCTGATAGGAAAACAGTAAGACTGTTTATGAATGAAATGAAAACTGCTTGGAATTTACTTTTTAAATGATTTATTAAATGACGGCTAAATGAACAATAAAGTATTGACAACTGTTAAAATTGTGTGCTTATATGAGAATTCATTATCATATTCTTGCTCCATATATGTTGAAAACATCTATAATAAAAATTGAAGTTATTTTTTAAAATAACCTTTTTTTATGCTCATTAATAACTGTGGACCTTAATTACAGAAAAGGAATCCTCCAATAAGCGAGATGGATAATTTATACATGGCAAGACTTTTTCTCAATACTGAAATTTTGAGTTGAGAGTTAGTGTTGAGTGTTGTTATTTTAAGTTATAACTCTTAGGCCAGAATCTCTCAAGCTAAACTGTCCATTCAGATTTTGAGAGATACTAGCTATCTTTAAATGATGTAAAACGTTTGTAACCGTACTAAAATTAGGATTCATCAGCATCTAGCTGACAATGCCTTCCTACCTTTTTTTCTTATGACTTTACCATATACAGAATGGCAGCAACTACCAAATAATAGCTTACATCCAATTTTAAAAAATATAAATAATCTAGTAAACGAGATATGAAATATAAAGATGTAAATATAAACTGAAGAATCTTGGGACATAACCAAAGCAATCTAAATTGGGAAACACATTCCTGAAAGTAACACTGATAAATTATTAAATCATTACCTAGATAGTCCTAATACAACAAAGCACACATAGCACCTAACACATTTATCCAATGTCTTGCAGTGTAGATATTCACTAACTACAAATATACAAACAAAATCCTCACTCTGATACTGTAAAAGTCTGGACAATATTAAAAATACGATATACTATTTTAGAAAATATACTATATCATTTAATCAGAGAATCAGAGAATATTTGTTTTTAAAATGTACTACAAATTTAAGTATGGAAGCCACTGGAAAAAGAGGATTCACCTTAGAAAATCCCCCAAGGGAAGCTGTTTCTCTGCCCACCTGTGCCTATGCAGATGCTTTTTTCCACCCGTTCTCTCCCTCTGCAGGGCAGGTTGACCTGTACCATGTCAGGACTTCTCTGCCCTGATCTCCCTCAGTGGAGGCCGCTCTCCTAAGACCGCCTACCTGCAACCATGAAGGTCTCTCTCTCTGCTAACCTGTCCCTTTCGGGGCAGCTCTTCCTGCCAACTTGCACCTATACAAGCATCTTTTCCTCTCCTGTCTCTAATAAACTGACTCTTTAAATACAAAAAAAAAAAAAAGAGAAAAGAAATTCCCCCACAGAACAGCTTTTTAAAAATTCATCTATTCTTTAAAGTACTAATAATAGAACTTCAGACTTAAAGGAAATTTGGATTTAATGCCTGACACAAGCTATGCAATGGCTATCGTCTGACAGATTCCAGGTAGCTCGGGGGAAGCTCTGAAAAATCAGAATTTCCACTGCTAACTTATGTTATGACTTCCCTTTTTTGTATAATCATAATATCAAAAAATATTGTAGCAACATCAGTTTGTAACTGGATTGCCTTAGCTCTAAATTGGCTACCTGGCCTGTGCAAAGTACAAGCTGAGCTGCTCCTGGGCAGGAAATTCCTTTGACTGAAGACAAAAGGCAAGCTCCTGGAGAGATAAGACCCCGGAGGATCAAGACTCCTGGAAAGCTTCCTTGGTCTCTTGACACAAAGCAAATCTTAGATAACTCCCAGGGCATAAGGACCCATGGACAATTTCTAACATTATCAACACAGGTTTTGCTTAATGCATATCTATGTGACTTCTTCTTAATTTACTCTTTTCCTAAAGCAATCACTAACTACTCTCTGCTAGTCTTATTTAACCTCTTCTTAAAACAAACACTAGCTACACTGCTAACCTTAAGTTAGCCATTAGCTTCTCTTTAGACTATCACTGAGGACTCTGCTAACACAATTTATTCCTTCCCTAGGACTCCTAAATCCTTTGCTAACAGCTCATCCTTTCCCAGACCCTAATCCTTTAAAGTCATAGTTAAACATCTGTATACATGAAAGTTATCACAAAGATGTATAGTATAGTGTGCCATAAAGTAGCAGGAAAAGGATGTATTGTTCCCCTCTTCCTTTAAAACTTTTATGCCAATTTCTTATTAACTCACCTGATGCATTATTGTAACTAAATCTTGCTACACAGTATAAATAAAGAACTGCAAAAAGATGAGCAGGAAGACTTGCACCCAACTCCGACTCCCGTGTCTTCCTCGCTCCCCTTTTCCCTTTTCTCCTTCTCCCCCTTTTTAGGAATCTCTGCTTGTCGAAGCCTTCCCACCTTAGGGTCCTGCCTGTCTTGCCTCCAGATACCTCAATAGTTGGAGCTGGTCTCCCACAAATGCCTTTATCCTAAACATAAGGAAAGGTAGAAAGATAGGGTGGAAGTTCTAAACCAGAATCAAACGCACAATTCAATAGTTTACTATAATACTATATCTATTTTAATAACTACTTCTCAATCAAAACGGTTGTATACAAATATTTTCAACTGTTTAGATTTAAGAATAACTGATAGGAAAAGAAGAGAGCTATGAGTTATTAGCTAACTCTAAATACTGAACAGCAGTTAGCCTTTTAAATTAACATAAAATGTACCAATTATCTTACCAGCATGGTGCTCTGACAATAGACATGAGTGTAGATTTTTCTATGATTTGCAAGAGGAAATGTAAAATATATCTTATCAGATTCCTAAAAATGAAAGGGAAAACATTCAATAAAACAGTCATGACAGTAGATAATTTCATATTAAAAGCTTTGGATAAGGGGCCCTTCCTGGTGGCGCAGCAGATTAAAGCACAGCACTAAGAAGCTACAGCCACTTCAGCATGAGTTGGATCCCTGCCTGCCTCAGAGGTGACCCACATGGCATGGCAGACCTCTCCTGACCCGCCTACTGCTCCCCTCAGCAGTGTACTTCGTTAGTCGGCCTGTTTTGCTCCCCACTCTGTCTCTGGTGAAGCCCCTGCAACTCTGACTTGTACCCCACTTCTGTATGAATAAATAAATAAATAAATAAATCTTTTTAAAAAAACAAAAGCAAAACTTTGGATAAACAGTAATTATTCTAACTCCATCATCCTGGGTGCTATTGAAAACTAATGTTATAAGAGCAAGAAAAAGAAAACATAGATGTAAGGTAGAGAAATCAAATACAAATCCTGTGTTCTGAATTTTTTTTAGAAATAATAATATAGATAAATGTTTTTGCTTTGATTTTATGTCAATATAAAACATATTTCTTAGTGCTATACCCTGAGAAGATGTAGAAATGTTAATCTACTAGCTATAAACAACGTTAGTGCCCAAATTATGATTTTTAGAGATCATTTCTTTAACAATAGGAAGAAATGCTTAGAAAAAAAACCTGGTTCAAGGTATAGGGCAAGAAAATTACAAAATGAACAACAATGTCTTCTCATACTGAATAGTGAGGAAACTGTCAAAGACAACTAAAGTGCTGTATCATAACTCTACCATGGCATGGCTTCCCCTGGTCAAAGATAGAATAATTTCGATATTAACTTTATTAACAAATAAAATATTAGTATTTTAGTTTATGAAGAAACAAAAATATGTCTAATTCCATGAGTTAATAATAATAAGCTCATCATAACTTGGGAAACCTCAAATTTTCTTATGGCCATTGATAGAGATTTTAATGAGCCAACTTACTATTTTGATAACCAGTAAGTGTAAGAACTGACGATCTAGGCATTAACCATTTTTTTATGGCTGTAACTTGACCCATTTTTGACAAATTTAATAGATGAGTTTTGTATAATGTTTTAGTTAATAAATGATAAATAACTGAAGTATTATTTGCGTACCACTAAATTAATGACTCTAGCTAGGCTTTCTTCATCATCCACCGCTAACATTACAATTAGAAAGAGTTCAACAAAAACAAAACCAAAAATATGAATGTGATTAGCATTGAAAATTTAGGTCGTACATCACATGAAAATGGGCAAAAGAATATGCTAAGGGCTCTCTCTGTTGGCACAATGGCTTAAAAAAGCACAGCACTGCAAAGCTGGCAGCAGCATCTTCAGCAGGAGTTCGATCCACAGCCCCGGAACCACATGGCAAAGCAGACCTCTCCTGTCTCGTCCACTGCTCCCCTCACCAGTGCACTTCTCAATCTGCCTGTTCTGCTCCCCACTCTGACTCTGGAATCCTCTCACTGACCATGCACCTCAGCCCTATACCCCAGTTCTGTATATACAAATAAATAAATCTTTAAAAAAATGTTAAAGGATGCTATAAAAATGGAATCAGTAAAGTCAAGACCATATGAAACTCTAAAGGATGACTGTGGTTTTTTAAATAGCTGCGAGAGAAAAAAGGAGATGAGGCAATAATACTGATTAAAAGAGGAGACATCCACACAAAAACAGAATATATTCCTTGTCTGTATCCTCACTTAAAGAAGTAAATTAAAAATAGCTACTGAAAAAAAAAAATTTGACAATTAAGACAAAATGGGAAAATGGAACACTAACTAGATATAATTAAGGAATAATTAAATTGTTTTAATGGAGAAAATATGTGGTTATCTTTTATAAAAGGGTCTTCAACTTTTAAAGATAAACATTAATTTTTTGAAAAAGGTACAAATATTCACTGGTGATATACTTACGTTATAAGCCACATAGGTCCATTTGGACACTTTTACTGGAACCCACATAGATGTCCCTACAGTAAAATAAATTATTTGCCTTTTTAAGCATGAAACAATTTCTTTTTGAATACTGATGAAATATTTTTATTCTTTATTTTCAGTAATAGAATTTGAAAGTGTTTTTTTTTTTTCCTGAAGATTGGCTATTTTAAGACAAAATGTAGCGAGATGTTCTCTATATGCTCATCACCAACTAATACTCATGGCAAGTAAAGCATTTTAAATCTATTTGGTATCTTTGGCTCTAAAACAATATCGATAAAAGAAAGTAAGCATTTCATTTTCCAAACAATACAAGAAAATAAGTAGAATATGAAAACTCTTATTATGTTTAAAAGCAAGATGAACTATCAAAACATATCCCATCAATCGAAGAGATGTAAAAAAGATCAACATTAAGAAGCTAAGTCAAAGAGTAAAACAGCATTTGTTTATCTGATAGTCAGAAAAACAGATATTTGATTCTACATTTAAATTTCTTTTGTTTATATTACCTTTAGGACAAAATTTTTATCAACAACATCCAACAAAATGCTTCCCTACTTTTTCCCTTCCCTTTTTCCCTTTTGTTTTACTCTTGCCTCAAGAAATTTTTATAGAGAAATTAATAGTATTATAATAGCTAATATATCACAATTTCAAAGTCTCTGCAAACAATACACTTACTTAAAAATAATAATCCATCACAACCTAAAATTAAAACAATTTTACAACCAACCTGTTAAGTCAGAAATTATTGTGGGATTTTCCTCAAAGTGTTTTGCTGGGTGTCTTATAAAATGGTGATTCAAAACTGATAATTTCTTCTTGGGATTCTGAGTTATCTAGAAAGAATAATGATATATTCTGTATCCTTTTACATCCACTTAAATAGTTCAATGAAACTTTGCTTCAATTAATAATAAAAGATAACATTTACTCTGAGAAAGAACAAAGTGCTTACTATGTTATTAATTAATTTAATCATCACAAGAACTCTAGGAAATAATAACTTTCAATGGTATTTTTAAACATAAAGAAACAAAAACACATATAAGTTATGGAATTTACTTAAGGTCACACTCCCATGAAAAGCCTGGACCAGAGTTGAAACCTAGGTCATCTTACTCAAGTGCCAACATTTGTATTCACTAAGCAATAGTGTCTCAAGTAAGAGAGCCTTTTGATCCAGTGATTCCAAGACATTAGTTTGCAAACTCAGACCAGTTGTTATTCTACAACAAATAATTCACTGGTCACTAGGAAAAGTAAAAATTGCCAACTGTCCTTCCTTGAAAGTCTCATACAATATTAGTTTTCATTTTTTTAGTTTTACTTGTTTTATGATCAATAAAAGCCATAGCTCACAAGTTTTTAGCTGTGACTTTTATGTTAACAACCATCAAAAATTACTGTCTAATTATTTGGTACTACATGTTTGGTACTGTTTATGCTTTGAATTTGGTTATTCTCTACGTATGTCCTGCTTCTTCTGCTAGACTACATGCTTCTTGAGGGACAGGAATCATATTCAAAATTTTTTTAAGATTTATTTTATTTATGTCTACAGAGCTGGGGTATAGGCCAGAGATGCCGGGAGGTGAGAAAATTCACCAGATAGAATGGGGAGCAGCACGTGAAACAGGAGAGGTCTGCTGTGCCATGTGGGTCAGCAACCTGTGCTGCAGTGGCTGTAGATAACCTCATAGTGCTCATACTTAGCCCCTTGTGCCACCAGGGAGGCCCCTATATTCCAATTTTTTATCATCTAACATTTAGTTTAATTTATTATACCCGAGAGCAATTTTAATATTTTGGTTCTTGGTATTAGTTACCAAAAATTTATTTGTGCCTTAAGATATGTCTGTTAAATACTTATACATTCAGATTTATAATATACTTTGATACTTTAGTTTTCTTAGGATTTAATAGAAAACCTGATTTGACTTAATAAAGTAAGTTTTTACTTACAATTTCTGAATAATATGCCTGCCTGAGGTATGCTTATCCTTCATTGGCTGGAATGAAGTTTTTCTTAAATCTACCAAGTGCCATTTCAAATATAAACTGATCTTGAAACTTTGACTGTTACTGAGTTGCACTCTCTCAAACAGACTTAAAAACACTTACCACAATTAAGACTCAATAAACTGAAAAATGTTTGTGTTCTAAGACCCATTCACAATATCAACTCTATAAAGCTGATTTAGACAACTATACTAACATAATATTGTGTAGTCTATTTCATTCTTTAGGAGAGGTATGTAAAAAATACAGACATTACTTCACTCCCATGAGAAAATACAAACTCAGCAAGGTATTAAGACACAATCAGGAAAGCATCACCTAGAGATGTAGTAAGAAAGAGGTCACACGTACTAGCTTCCCAAAGAATTGGAGCCTTCAGGGAAAAGAATCCAAAAATATCTGAGCTGCAATACTTGGCCATAAAGTATGAGATTGCTTAATACCCAAGGAACTTTTTCTCCAGAAGAAGAAACCAGGGCCATAGTTCTCAAAATATATTTTTATGGAACAGTGATGCACTGCAAAATGACCTGAAGAGAAAGACTGCTTAACAATATAATGGCAATCTGCACCACAACTCACAGAAATAAATTTAAGTTAATGGACAGAATTCTCAGAATTCTGCTGAAGTCCTTGGTACCCATTATTTACTTGCTATCAGGCAAGAAAAAGGTAAAAGAGTAATATGTCCTCAAAGGGCACCATAATTTCCAGGTACTCTGCTAAATGAAGAACTTGGAAAATCACTAGTTTAGAGTATTCATATGTGAAATCTTATTAGAGAAAAGATTCAACTTTTAGAAGTACATAAATTCTGGTGAATGAAGTTATTTTGAAAGGTATCAAAAAGGTAAAATGTTTTAAAGAAACTTCATACTTTTCAGATCTACCTTTTTAGGCTATTCTTAAAGTATAGTAACATAGATCATGATATCAACAATACACTACTAGGGAGAAAAATCATAAAACAGTTGTGATAAAATTTTATCTTAAGTTAAAATAGTTGGAATCATATATCAAATATTTATCAAATATTTTAAACAGTAAAGAGGAAAAAATGGGGAGGAGGGAATTAAAGTATCCTTTCACTATCATTTTCACTGAATTCTATAAATTAATAGTTATAAAATATTATCAGATAAAAATAATTCCATTTTTAACTAAATATGTTTATATAAAGTACAGGGTTCTGTTTTCATACAATATAAAAATGTATTAAATTCATCATTTTTACTTTAATGAAGTAAATTTTAGTTTAAAAATACATACTTGTTTAGTATCAGCATCAATAAGATCAAAGAATGCTCGAACTGTAGTCAGTTGCAATTGTTTACACCTAAAGAGTAAAACAAGTGTTAAAGTGAAACTTTACTAAAAACAGACTTTTAACACAAACACATCCAATTGTCTTATTTGTTTTTATTTTAGTAACTTTTGTTTATAACATTATATAGTTTTCAGGTGTAAAGCCTTATAAATCAACATCTAGATGTAATATATTATGCTCATCACCAAAGGTCTAGTTTTCTTTTACCACCATATAATTAACCCCTTTTATCTGATTTACCCAGCCTCTATTTCCCCTTCCCTTCTCCGTGACCACTACTTTGTTCTTTGAGTTTCTAAGTTCTGTTCATTTCCTTATCTACCCAATTCTCCTATTTAATGGAATAATTGCATTTCCTTTAATGCTATAACTCTAAAATTACTTAACAAATCATTATTATTAAGCATATATCTTAAAATTGAAACATACAAAAACAAGCAAATTAAATCTCCTTGGTGGTACATCAGGTTAAAGCATAGCCCTACAAAACTAGGCACAGCCACTTTAGCACCTCCCTGGTCAGGGAGGTGACCCACATGGCAAGGCAGACCTCTCCTGACCTGCCCACTGCTCCCCTCCACAGTGTATTTCATCAGTCTGCTTGTTCTGTCCCACATTCTGTCTCTGGTGAATCCTCTTACTATCTCTATACCTCTGGCCTGTACCCCAGTTCTGTGTGCATAAATAAATATATCTTAAAAAAAAAATCTTCTTGGATGTTTGACAGGGTGCTTCTGTATTTTCTAAATCTCTTCCTTGGTGTAAACTCATCTTTATATGACTGAACTGTTGAGTTTCCTGAAGATACCATTTAATTGATTGGTCAGATGAAGGTGAAAAGAAAATCTTTAAGCCAAAATAATTGAGGGTAAGATACAAGGTCTATGTATTTCTTGTCCAATGTTTAATCTATTACTTTACTTATCTTAAAGATATATCTAATTCCTACTATGTTTTCCATGTGCAGATCCCTAAAACAGTCAGTGCTGTATAATCAGGTCCCTGAATTTGGTTATTGGCCAAGAGCTCAGAAAATCTTACCTACCACCATTACATTTGATTATGTACAACTATCACAAACTATAATTTTGAAATTTGACATTAGCATCATTTGAAACAAATGGCAGTGGCTCTTGAGGAGAGAATTTTATAGACTGACAAAGGACTCTTGATCAAACTGAGACAGGAACCAAGATTAGAATTTTTGAGTCCCTAAATTAATTTTTCTCCTGAATCCTTGTTTAATTTTGGATAAAGGGGCCCTCCCTGGTGGTTAGGCAGCCACTTCAGTGTGAGTTCATATCCCAGCCCCCAAGGTAACCCACATCGTGTAGTAGACTTCTCTTGACTTGCTCAATGCTCCCCTCAGTAGTGCACTCAGTCGATCTGCCTGTTCTGTTACCCACTCTGTCTCTGGTATACCTTCTCACCGTCCCTGCACCTCAGTTCTGCTTATACCCCAGTTCTGTATGCATAAATAAATAAATCTTTTAAAAAAAATTTTTGGATAAAGCTCTAACAGAGCTAACATATGAATCAATTCACTGATAAGAAAACAGGGCTACAACAAATCACTAAAATAAGTTATGTTAACTTACCACACAATGGAAAGATGGTCTGTTGAGACCCATGTCTTAGGCACTGCTGAACTCTAAAAAAGTCAATTTTAAACAAAGCACATTTGTTATTCTCCAAAAGGTTTGAAATTCTCCTAAGTTAATATTTAGAAACAGCTAACATTAGTTATACCATTCATGATACATACGTTTTTAAATGATAACTTCTATTAACAGGTGATCTAAAAATATTAAGATATCACCTTCATAAAGTAATTCTTTTTAATTGCTGTAACTTCTTAGTCAAGCTTAAACTGTCTTTTAAAAATTAAAGCATCCAGATTTCTTACTGAATTTCAATGTCTCTTTATTAGTGTAATAGAAATGGTTTAATGCTCTTTAATAAATCAGTTTATATGTATGTTAAGATATTATAGTAATTTTAGTTCTGACTCACTGCTACTGGATAAAATCTAAGATGTTATTTCTTAATCAGGGTATACCTAAAAAAGTACCTGGGTCTGAGGAGGTGTTTTAAAATGAATATGCCTGATGCAAATAAAAATGTGTATTTAGGTTCCAGGCTCTAACGTGCTAAGAATCTATAACTTGTTGGACTTATAAATATTGGATACTATGTTTAGGAATTACTTCTGAGAGCTTACTAAAAAGTGAGACAACTAGAGTGCACTGTGATTCCAAAATTAGATGTTTAGTAGAGTTAGAACTCATAGTAGATGGTACTTGTCAAGAACAGAATACCAATTTATCAATACTTTCAGTCTAATGCTTACATCTGAGCTTGAGTAGGAAAAGAGAAAGCCAATACAAAGGTAGTGCTTGTGATCTTAGTGTTGAAAACTGCTGAATGTCTGCCCAAATCAATTTTTCTTTTTTTGCTTACATCTCCATCAGATATAACTAAGTTTCTGCTAATGGCATGTGCACAAAAGTGATGTGCACTATTACCTGGCCTGATTGCTCTCCTCCGTGCCCTTTTCTCTTCCAGTGGGTTGATATCGTGATTATTAAAGCAAACTTGGAAGCAAAGAATGGAAGGCAATACCTACTGATGGCCCGCATCCCTTAGTGGGACTCTTTCAAAAACCACCCACAAACTTAAATACAAACCTACAGTAGTTATATGAGAAAAGTGTCATCTTTCACAGTGTTGGGTGCCATTATCTGCATAAATACATATTATAATATTCAGCTTACCCTATTCATACAACTGTCTTAGACTCAAACCAAATTTTCCAGTTCCAATGAATGTAAACGTCATTAGCTATTCTTGAGATAATCATTTTAAAAAGTGTTACTTTTTTTTTTAAGGTGAGCAAACAAGTATGAAAGACTATAGCCTATTTGGGGGCAAATTAATAAAATAGAATTCAGATTACATAATAACTGGCTTTGAGAAAATATAGTAAGAAGTAAAATATTTTCATCAGAGATATGAAAATACAAGTTGCCATGAAAATAACAGAGACATAAAGAGACACTCGTTAACATGACTAAAAAGGCCAAATTTCTTTAAAAGATAAGCTAAAGGCTGTGGCATCAATACATCTTCATGGTCTAGACCCAGTGTGGGAAATAAGTTATATCCAATCTTATAAGACTAAACCATCCAGGTTTATAAAAGAACTGACATTTTGTATTTTCAGGAATTCCAGCAAGTAGCTGCCCAAAGTATTCAATAATAAATAACAAAATTCACACCATTAATGAGGCTTGAGAGATTTACTGTTTAGATCCAAAGCTACTGTTCCCTATACCAAAACTCTTCCAGTTATAAGAACAAGGTGGTGGTAGCAGAATGGCTTCATAAGTTTTGTACTCTTTACCACAAGCATTAAAACTTTGTTTAATCAATGGCAATGTTATATGGGGCAACAGTAGATGAGCTGAATGAAGTATCTATTTGAGAACACCATCAACTAAAGTACTATCTCCTTAAAAGAAGATCTAAATTTTTGTTTTAGAAATTAAGTTAAATTAGCAAATATGTATGCTCAGTTAAAAAGTTAAGCTCTTAACTAAAGATCTCCAGGTTAAATATATTATAAATACTATAAATCTTAAAATGATACAAGTATCCAACTTGTATCTCAATTTACAAAGGCTAGATATTCCAGTTAAAGACCAAATAGTGATGCCCTAGCAGGGAAGAACAATTAGAGAATTATCAGTTCTGCTTTGCTATTAAAGATAACTTTTTAGTTTAAATTCAGTATATCTTCATTCAAGTCTAGAATTTAGGAGTGTGTGTTATGTTTGATATCCTACTATTATTGTATATAGCATACTACCAAATCTAACAAGAGGCCCTGAGACTACAATCAACACTGTCTCATACTTACAACTCTAATCAGTGGATAGAAACTTATTTTGAACAAGAAACATAAAGAACTATAAAAATAGTTCTGACAAAGCTTCACAATCTGTTTTATTTTGTATGGAATGATCATCTGCTTTCCTACTAGAACCATTCATTTATTCAAACTCTTCCTCTCTCCCTCCATACACACAGCACATAAATGCCTGAACAGGTAACAGACTATACCAATTCAGCAAGCATTTCCAAGCAGCTACATATTATCTCTTCTTTTATGCCCACTGCATCCATCATATTACTATTTCAATAGAATCTTTAAAAAAACAATTACCACAACAGATAAGGCACTGGTATGATGGCTTAATTTTGGTAGAAAAGTCAGTCCTGAACGAACTTGGTAATCTCGAAATCCTCCAGCTACAGAAAGTGTGGTAAAATTTATATGTCTAGCATTTAAAATCCAATAGTTGTTTACAGTCATATAAAAATCTGGTAGGAAATAAAAAAGACACATTAAAAGTTAGTAGCCATTTTATGTAACAATACCTATAATATTAATAAAATGAATTTCTGTTTAAACCATGTTAATAAGCTATAAACCATGTTATTCTCATATACCTATTTTGAGTACAATCAGTATCATTTATATAGACACTGCTTTTCCCATTGAATCAATGCACAGACATTAAAGAGTTAACTTTGACAGTCCACCTGAAACAAGTTTCTAACATTCTACAACAATGCTGATTATTCAGCAGCCACAAATAATAGCAAGAAACAAACCCTAAAATTCTTCCAAAGGTAAGGCTTCATTATGCTGAAAAATTACACATCTTCCTAATCACAAATAATCCTTACTCATGAGGGCTTAGCAGCTCTCTACTGCAGATAATCACCATCTCACAAATATATGAGTTCTTAAAATAAAATCTATCAGAAAAATGACATTTATAATCATCTTGAGACTATGCTACTGTGAAAAACCTAAGGTTTAAAGCCAGTATACCCATTTATTGTAAAAAGTAGCTCAAACACAATTCTTCCCTTTATGGGAACTTAGAAAACTTTAGAGTCACAAATTTGAGAATGGAACAAGAGAGTTTTCACTTCCTTTTCTAATTATCAAAACAATGCATTTTTATTTTGGCATTCAGAATTTTGAAGAGCAAACTCCTCCCACTAAAGATCTCAGTAGTATAGATGTAAATTCTACCAACCATACCCATTTCTAACATCTATCAAACTTGGGACAAAGGACCAATGGGATATACATGCCATATTTCTAAACTACTGAAAGGCCAAAATTCCTGTTAAAAAAAACCTGTAATATCTAATATCTTTTTTTTCTGTCCACTTGAAAAGTAGGTCATTGAATATAGTCTAGAAAAACCAAGTTCAAACAAAGAATTCCATGACACCTCAATTGTACATGTTACTATAGCAGTACAGGAAGAGCAGCTCTCTATCTCACTGCTTGTGCAATACCCACAATACAATAAGTTTGGTAAATACTGGCAATTCTACCTAACCATATAGAGTATTAGCAGATTTACTTACATTAAGTCATTTCTATGAATTTACTTAACTGTAAGCTTATTTTGAACAGAGTGTTAGAAGAATTAATAAAATATAAGAAATTTAAACAGATTGAGAGATAGAAAATCAAACTCCAGAGTAAAAAAAAACTGAAACCTAACTATTTAGGGATTATAAAATACATGTCATTCACGTTAACTGCTATGCACAGAGAACACTAATAGCTTCAATCTGAGCCTAACTTGATGTCAAAAAAAATAAACACTCAGAAATGGAGGTTCTACTCAGTAGCTGAACCTTTTCAAACACAATAAAGAGAATAGTTGCAAGAATTTGTTTAATCCTAAACAATAATGGGAGGTCAATTAATGTTTGTGTAACAGTACTCACCTGTAATGAAACGATCTAATGGCATCACAGGAGCAACATGGGGTGTGGCTTGTGTTATGAGAAGATTTATCAGATCTTGTTTAAAATTTTTCAATGTAAGCAATGCTCTTGCAACAAGGCCACCCATTGAATGACCAATGATAGCAACACTTTTTGGAGCAAATTCTTGACCCTATTTTAAAAAATCATCAAAGCAAATTAAGGCTTAATAGCATAATAAAAATATTAAATATTTTTCTCTACATATGAACAATTTTCTAGAAAACAGAAAAACTATATATATGACCTATCTTCATAAGAAATATACTTTCCTAATATTCACAATTAGTGTATATATACTATTTTGTAACAGTTATGCCTTTGTTTTCTGAACCACAATCAGAACACTTAGTCTAGAAAATCATGTTTTAGCATTTGTTATACTGGATGTATGTACAAGGTGTAATTATATTTGGTATACAACAGCATATTTTATAGGCCATCAGAAGTCAGATCATTTATTTGAAAGTAGAAATATAACAAAAAGTCAGAACATTTATGAATGTTATAGTGATATAATATTATTAGACTTATTAGACCTTATTAAACTGATATATCACATCAAATTATTTTTCTACTGTGCACTTGGATTTAACAGACATCAGCATTTCATAATACTTTTTCACTGACAATTACCCATTTTATTTTTAAAAAAAATGATTTTTTAAAAAACCTTTTCTAGAAAAAATACCAGATGGTTTCACTCATAGCAGGTGAGAAAGTAACGGGCTAGGCGAGAAAATATTAATGAACAGCTATATACCAGAGACATTTTATTGGGGTGGAGTGGGGAATGGGATCAAAAACAATGGGAGGAAGGAAGTGCACTGGACTATGGTGATGGCACATGAGTGATTTGGTGAAGGGAAGCCCAAGGGGATTACAATTGTGATGGAAAAAATGCATAAAATGATGTAAAAATAAACTATTATATTATTTAAAAAAAAAAAACAAAACAAAACCTTTTCTGTCTCCACATAGTACTCTCAGTTACAACAAGCAGGCATTCTCACTGCTCTCTACATCAATTCTTCACCTATGCCTTCTCTGGTACTATTAGACCTAATGGGAAAAAAAGTCAATACAATAGGTTGGAAACTACTATCCTTAGGATGGACTACATATAAGGTCAGCTCTTCATCATTCCCTAAACAGTAAGAATGTCTCACTGTGCTGAGACTGTCTAGTGAACTTTATTGTTTATGCACAACAACTGTTGTCCTTCTGGTTTGCATTTTGATATATGGTAATAACAGGGCTAGGCCAGACCCTAGTGAACAGAAAATCTTGTAAAAAATATTTCATACATGTCATAATTTTTTGTATCCAGTGTGACTCTCTTGCAAGAGGACTTTTGAAGTTTGCCCCTAGTTTCATCCAGATTTGATCCAATGTGATTTTACTTTTTGCTGATTTTGCTCTGGACTCTTTCACTGTCAATAAATCATAAGTACAACTCAAGCCACATACTATGAGTCCTCCAGGAGAATCTCAGCATCTAAGAATGGTCTTAGTGATCTTCAACAAAAAACTGATTTTAGCAAAAGTCAAATTTTGTTTTGGACAAATATATATGTGCTATGAGACCTACCCTTCTGGCTTTATCATTCCAGAAATTATCTTGAGTTATTTCTACTACAATAGATCATTCTTGCTAGTATATAAATACACTAATTTTTCCCTCTTAAGAAACAGGAACAATTCTCTTTCTTTACTATCCCCTTAGTGAACACATCTTTCTCTACATCTTCTAACAGAAAAATTTTTCAAAAGCAGTTGTCTATCCAGTATTTGTTGCCTCCAATTTCTTAACTTCCACATATTCTTAAATCTACTCCAGTCAGGCTTGCACCGCAACACTCTTTCACTCTTTCATTTTACCTGACTCATCGATAAAATTTGGCAGAGTTGATCACTTCTTCTAGCTGTTTTTGCCAGGATTACCACAGTGGCATATCAAGGAAGAATATGGCTTATTCAATAGGTAGCAGTATTATTTTACCTCTGACACTTAGAATTGTTGACGCAGAATAATTTTTAGCTGTTTTATTCTTTAAATTTCTTTAAAGACATATATTCTTCCTCATTCCTTGTACCTGAGGTGGACATACTCCACCACTGCTTCTTTGGTATAACATTGTCTTGTAGTTTCTTTGCCCTATGACATATAGCAAAATATCTAAAGACTAAAAAAAAGCAACTTTCTAGAGCTCCTATCTAGCTCTTTTGTTTATCACACCCTCCTCCACAAGTCTGGCTACTTCAGTAGTCCTAAATTTCAATTTCTGCCTTATTTAGCTTTGTGATAACAATGTGCTCTGCTTATCTCTACCTACTTCCCTCTAGTTTGGAAAATACTCCTAGGCAGAAAGCCAGGACAATCACAGCACTCACTTCATGTGCTGTCCTTCTTTCAGGGATCACAGTCCTTTACTGCTTGGTTATCCAGCACCTGAAAACCTGTGTTTCAGATATCTTGACTAGTTTAATGACTGTTTACATAGAGGTGGTCTACTCTACTACAATTAATTACTCATAACTAAGAGCAGAAATTCTCACTAATAGTCTTTAGGAAATATATCACCCTCCTACTTTATATATAATTTTTTTTAATTCCCCTAAATTTACCACAAGGAATTTGTGGTAAACTCAATTTAAATTTCAAAAACTAACAAGTTAGGGTCCTCCCTGGTGGTGCAAAAGGTTAAAGCACAGCGTTATAAAAAGCAAACCACAGCAACTGCAGCAGGAGTTCCATCCTTGCTGTGGTTCATCCAGGGGGGTGAACCACATGGTATGTCAGTCCTCTCCTGTCTCGTCCACTGCTCCCCTTACCAGTGTATTTCAGTAGTTCTGTCTGTTCTATTCCTCACTTTGTCTTTGGTGAGTCCTCTCACACACACACCCTCACGCCTCTGGCTTGTACCCCAGTTCTTGTACACATAAATAGATAAATCTTTAAGTAAATTAGAATTAAAAAATAAAAACAAACCAACAAGTTAAAAACAGGACACCAGACACCCACAAAATAACAAGCAAACCTTGTGCCCTCTTCACTTCAACTTCTAATAACTAGTAAATGATTAAAAATACGCTGAGTTTCTTAAAAATAATAAATGCTAATATGCTAACCACTATTAGTTGTATACTTATCTCTTACCTTATAGAGTTTGAGAATCGTTTTAATACATTCATGTACAAACTTGGTCTGCTTCTCAAGACTTCCACCATACAATGCCACCAGTTCTTCATTGAAATTCACACTGAAGAAGTCAAAGTGGTATTTTAAGTCAATGTCTTCTGCTTTTCTAAGTGCAATGGAGCCAATAGAACGAACTGCAAAGAGCAAATAAAAAAAATTGTTTTATTTCTTTCATTGTTGTTTCAAGATCTCTTAACTTCATACCATACTCTCAATATAAACAAGTTATTTCTAGATGGACTAGAGAAGATAATCAAAAGAATAGCACTGCCCTTTGACCTGAGGACCCATCCTGCCAATGAGAGGCTGTTCATCCTCTATCCAACACCCAGGAATATAGATTTCACTTGCTTTCTTGAAGCTGCCTAAGGACTGTGTCACACTTGAGGATTTAAATGCGAAAATTCCTGTAAGAAACATCTGCCTATCACTTGGTTCAGATACTCATGCTTAATTTGTCTTTTTCTTACATACACTATCCAATCCAGCAGTAAATCCTCTTCCTTCTAAAGTTATGCTCTTCCTTCTAAATGTATCCCCAATCCAACATTTCCATTACACACTCCAACCAAAAAACCATTATCTCTTATTTAAATTACTTTAATAATTTCCTAACTTGTCTTTCCTCTTTAGTTGCCTTTTTGTAAGCCTTTTTAACAGGATTTATATTATGAAATGATTATATTAATTGGCATTAAAAATTACTGTATAGTATGGTAAACAAAATAGTTGTTTGCCATTTCATTTTTTAACAGACACAAATCATCATGCAATTAATTCAATGACATTTAGAATATCCACAATTATGGATCATTTCTGTAATCTAACATTAGACACTTTTAGACAGAATCACCCAACAACTAACTCCTGCATTTATGAGCAGTCTCTCCTAACTACTCTATGGACTTGCCTATTCTGAACACTTCTATAAATGTAATCATGTAATATTCGGTCTTACTTTCAGCTTCTTTCACTTATGTTTTTAAGGCTTATCCACATTGTAGCATATTACTTATATATCAATAATTCATTTCATAGAAAAATCACACTTTACGGATGTATACATTAACTGATGAACAGGTTGTTTGGCTATTATGAATTATGAATAGTGCTACTATAAACATTTGTCTACAATATTTTGTGGGGGTCTATGTTCACATGCTTCTTGGGTAACAAACTAGAGGTGGAATTGCTGAATTACTTAGTTCTGTGTTTAATATTTTGAGGAACTGTCAAATTGTTATCCAAAGCAGCTATATCATTTCAAACTCCAACCAGTATTATATGAGAGCTTCAATTTCTTCACATCCCCAACAACACTTGTTAATGTCTGTCTTTGAGATTATAGTTACCCTACTAAGTGTAAAATGGCATCTCATTATGGCTTTGAGTTGTATGTCCCCAGTGATTACATTTATTATCTTTCCTGCTTCCTCTCTTTCCCCTCCACAGCATATTCTCTACACAGAAAATGCAGAGTGATCATTTTCTTCAAAATAAATCATACCTACCAGATTGGTGAAAATTTAAAAATTTGATAATTCCAATGTAAACAATGTAGCACAAAGTACAATGTACTGTTTTGGAATTATGAGTTAGCTAGCATAAAGACAAACAAAAAGACATATATTCCTTTAATATGGAATTAATCTTCTACGATATACATTGTACAGAAACACAGGCTTATGTGCTCTAAGATAGAATGTTCATTATTTTTAATAGAAAATGAACATAAATAACACATATGTCCAAAGACAGAACTATGATACAGTGCAACAATTACAGTGCAACAAAAATGAATGAAACACAGATCATATGAAAACATGGATGAATTTTAAATACATTTAGTGGAAGAAGTGAGAATACATACTAAGTGATTCCATTCATATTATGAACTTTATAAATAAGACAAGTCACTAATAAGCAGATTGTATTAAAAACACAAATTATATGGTAAACCTATAAAGTCAAATGTAAGAGTAAGGTTACATCTAGCAAGAGGAAAGAGTTTTAATGACAACAGGGTACAGAGAATATTCTAAGTCAAGCAGCTAATACTTCTTGACTCAGGTTTTGATTCTATAGGTATTCATTTTATAAAAATTTTTAAGTGAATATCTGTATTTTATGTAATTATGTTTATGAGCAATATATTTAAAATACAACCTTCAGCAGAAATATCAGAGTGTATTATTTCCTACCAAATTACTCTCTAACAGTCTGCCATCATAGTTAGATCAAAATTCAAAGTCTTTCCCACAACATACATGATAGAGTCTTTCTAACCTCATCTCTCTTCACTTTCCTAGTGGCTTAAGAAAGTCTAGGTTTACATGGCCAAAGAAAGTATGGTCTTCACTAGTCTTAGCGGCCTTAAATGCACCAAGCATGATCCTGCCTAGGGTCTTCTCCTAAACAGTTGCATACCTCAGCCCACTACTATACTGAGGCCTTGTGCAGAAATTTCATTCCTAAAGTGGCTGTAGTGGTCACTTAAACTAACCATCATTTGACTCTGTTTATCCTCAATTTTATATTCTGATTTACTTTTTCCTTCAAGTTTTAAACATTATTAGCATATTTGCTGATGGCTCTCTTCCCCATAAAAATATGTTTATTGGGGTGGGAGAGGGGAGCTCTGTCTTGGTCTATTTTCGATCACCAATACCTAGAATACTGTCTAGTTCATGATTATGTATCCCATAAATATTTGTTAGATTAAAAAAAGCACATAAATAGTTAGACTAAATGTTAAAATAATTCTATCTCATAAAAGAATATACCATTTTATAACCAAAAAAGTAAATTTTAGCTGAAATTATGTCCAGATTATTTGGCTATTATGTCAAAAATAACTGCTCTATCTCCAGCTTGCAATTTGGAATCTGTTATATAGCTTCCCTTCTCTTGTTTTTCTGTGTTCCCCTCAGTACTTCTAGATTTCTCTAAGTTAAATAGCTTCAAAAGAAAGAAACTAATCCTATCTTGTTTAACAAAAATACAAATCACTTGGTGACTTCGCTAAATCAATACTTCAGGTTCTATTCTCCATGCCCTTTGTTTCTAACATAAATCTCTTACTTTGGTTTCTGAACGCTTATAGCATCTACTTATCCCATCCCACTCTATCTTATTCCTTACCTCCTTTTTACTCTTTGCAAAGTGGTCTTTATCTATTCTTTCCTATTCTCATGTCCTCAGCTGTGCTTTCTCTCAGATAAAACTTAACACACGTTTGTTTCCCTGTGTACCTGACTCAGTACTTAAAAGAGTATAAATCTGATAAATTCTTCAATTGAATTTTATAGCTTATAAAATTTACTTCTGAGACTTACCTTGCTTATAACTTCCAGCGTTACCAGGAAGAAAGAGAACTGGGATACCTGTCAAAGGAAGAATTTTGTGTTCTTCAGCATAGGATCCTTCTCCATAAAGATATAATTCATATGCAGGATAACGTTTTGCCAGCTTCTTTGGAAGTTCTATTTTCTACAGCAATAAAAATGCAATGTTATTTTAATCTGTTATTAATACAACTCAACCTCAGTGTACCCAATTCTTATTATGTAAATTTCAAATATTTAAGTACAGAAGTATTACTGATAAAACCATACCAAGTGCACAAAACAAGCTGCACTTTTAGCTTATTCATATGGACAACTAGCTTTGAATATATGAGTTTTGAGACATGCAGTTTCCAGAAAAGCGTAACATGAGAATATCTGGCATTCTAATGAAAACAAAGTATTCAAAATAGCTAGGGACAACGGGCGAAAAACACTGGTATATACTAGCAAGGTATATGTTAATATCATTAGAAGTACATTTAATTTAGTATCATTTTATACTTAGAAATGATAAGTGTTCCATTATCAAATCAATTATTTCCTGCCATTTTAAACTGTTTTATACTCAGGCCCAATTATATATGTCACCTGTAACATCACTTAAAGGAAAGGAAGTTTATTTTATAATACAGTTTTCTAACCTCTCACCTTAATACACTTTACCTATGATGTGCTTAACAAATTAATCTGATCCTTCTAGCCATGCTTAAGTCAAGGCATGTACTCTCTTTTGCCATAAACATGCCAATGAATTAACATCTGTCTTAGTTTTTGTGGACCAGGTATATGATTTATCAGCAAATTTTAAATTACTTTACAATTAATATTGAATACCAAGTGAGCCAGTAATTCAGATATTTTTGTTTCAACAAATATAAACTAGGCTTAATGTCATTCCTAAAAGGTAGGCTTTGTAAAGGTGTTAATAACAAATAAGCTCCCCTTCTGTTCCTCTTCTCTAGAAGGAACATGAAAAATGAAACCAGTTAACACTTAACAGATTTTAAGTAGGTACTAATAGATTTAATCATCTAGCAGTACTGTACATGTGTTTGCTAAAAATTTTAACTACTGAACAAATTTTTAAAACTGTAAACATACAGCCTGAATTAACAATTGGCAAAAGAACTAAAATATCTCACCAAAAGAGACAGATAAATGACCAACAGACACATGAAAAAAAAAGTTCTCCATTGCTTATTATAGAGAAATGCAAATTAAAACCACAATGACATATTACCTCCCACCTTTTATAATATAATCAAAAAGACAAGAAACAACAATTATTGGCAAGGATGTGGAGAAAAGGGAAGCCTTATATACTACTGGTATGAATACAAATTGGCACAGTCACTAGGTAAGGAGTTCCTCAAAAAACTGAAAACAGAACTCCCATATGACCCAGCAATTCCACTTCTGGATAGAATACAAACTCACTAATGGAAAAGATGTATGTACCCCTGTGTTCACTGTAGCATTATTTATAATAGCCAAGATATGAAAACAACCTAAGTGTCCAAGGATGGCTGACAGATACAAATTTGTGTCAGTGGAATATTATTCAACTATTAAAACATTAAATCTTTCCATTGCAAAAAAAATGGGTGGAACTTATGGGAATTACATTAAGTGAAATAAGGTGGATAAAGACAAATACCATGTGATTTCACTTATGTGTAACACAAAGAACTAAAACAAATGACCAAACAAAAAATAAAAGCAAGCTCTGAGATTCTGACAACAGAATGGCGGTTACCAGAGGAGAAGGGGGTAGCATGAGTAGAACAGGTAGAAGTAGTCTACTGGATGGTAGTAGAAAAACCTTCGGTAGCAGTGTGGTGCAGTATACACAGATGCCAAGGTATGAAGCTGTGCACGTGAGACAGTGTTTTATATCAATGTAATCTCAACTGAAACAAAACCAAACCTGTAAATGGTAATGACTACTGAAAACCCTCACTGTTGTAAAAACAGAAATCTGATAATTCATGCACATTTCTGAATATTTCTTTGACAACATTACCATAAACGAACTGTGTCAACAGTAACATGAAAATAACCTTTAGAGACTGTGAACTCATTAAGACACCAGCAAACTCTGTCTCTTCAAACAATCAAAACACAGAAGTACCAACATCGTGTTATGTGTTTTATACAAGTACATGTATTTTGATTCAAATTAGTCCCAAGGTTGATTATGTACAGTATACAATAAAAAATGAATAGGACACACTATTTTGTTTCTTTAGGTACAAATTAAATTGTTTAAAAAGTGCAAGAAGAATGCAGGTTTCTTAATTCTTCCCAGTTTAGTAAACCATTTGATATAACAATACACACATATTACATCACTATTCTTCTTAGGACAATAGCTAAACACACACACACCCTCTGTGGCCTAAGTCACTACTTCTCAACAATTCTTTACAATCCAAAAAGAAACGTGGATTATCTCTTTTTGAAGAGTCTTACACATACTCTTTTATAGTAAAATTATAACATTTAATAGATAATATTTTAACTATCCATTACATCCTAGTCTTTACCCACTGTACTAAGACATAAATTATAAGCACATGATCTGATTCATTTTATCTATACCTAGAATACAGAATATACCTGATATAGAATAATCATTCAATAAATTATTTGCTAAATAAATATCACATTTAATAACAAGATACAGGAGTCAACTTTCTTTCAGAGAGGAACTCTTAGGTCACATATCTGAAAACAGCCTAACAAATCATTTACTGTATTAAGACAAAACAATATGAGTGTTTCTTCTCAAATTCTACAATTTGCCTAAAAATGTAAATAAAAGCCATCCTGTGCTATTAGAAAAGGCAAAAAACTTTAAAGAATAAAGTGCATTTTTGCCTGGTAAATTTGAGATGTGTTCATGAGATTTTCAGTTACCTCCCAATAAAGAAATCTAGGAAAACCAGAGATAAAGAATAAAGAGAGAAAAAGTTTTAAATTCAAAATTTCAATTTATAGAGTTTCATATTTCTGTTCTACCTTTTACTTTTAAAATAGGAGAATAAAATCGAACAAGTCTCAATTATCTTCCATTTTTCCTTTACTTTCTTTTGCAGATGACTATAGAATCCATAAAGAAACAGTAAAAAAAAATGATGAAAAACATTATGAGAGGAAACCGAATGACTAGGACTTCTCATATGCTGGATATCAATTTGTGAACAAAAGCAAGCTAACTATAAAAGTAATTTAAGGACAAAGTATATACTTTACAAAAAGGAGGAATGATGTAAAATATATATAAATAAAATTTTAAAAAGACTAGGAGAAAAAATAAATAAAACATAAAATGAGCAATAAGTAAAAAAATGTTTACAGCACTTTTTTATTCATTAAAAACCATTGGTTATCAACAGCATGTTCTCAGTTATCCAGAAATCTCCATATACTTGAAACTACTTGCTTCCAAAAGCAGATTTTAATTACATTTGTAATAATATGACATGTATTCAAAATAAAAGAACTAAGAGTCAAATATATATCTTGCAGGGAATTAACCTTAGTTTTTTACATGATATAAAAATGTGAATCAACAACTTCTGCCACTGCACTGCTGTACTAACAAATTATTCAAACAGAAGCAGAAACCCTCAAATAGGCAATTTGAGCCAAAATAACTACCAAAAAAAACTTAACAGCTCTTTTACATTAGCTACACTAATTTTTTTCCAGCCAATTTTATGAGGCACTATACGCATCTGTAAGGTCCATATGTTTTGTTCCCAACACCAAGCATTTTCTACTACTGAAATATTAAAATAGCTTCAATGATTGTGAACAACCTAAAATTAAATGGGAATAGTACTGTAATGTTCCAATATAATTTGATTTAAATCATTCTTCAGTGTAGTACAGGATTATACAGGTTCTATTTTTATTTAAAAGAATAAATTAAATGCTCAATTGATAGCCACTAATAAACATAAATCAGTTTAGGAACTAAGAGACAAAAGTAACATGTTAAAATCTCCTTCCATAGTATATGATAACAAATGTTTCAACAAATGTTTCAAATGTTTGTACTGCTGCAATACCAAGGTAAAGGTCTCAAAAGAAATGCAATGTAAACTACAATTCTGCCCATGGGAAAGGATGCTTTTCCACAATTTAAACCTTAAGTAGTTTTAATATTTAAATTATAGCAGCATGGTCATATAATATGCTTCATCCTAACTAATGACGTGCACACAGAAACAATCAGGATCTGCATCCTGCACCTTAGAGAAAAATCTGCTGTGGTTTTAAAAGTATATTAAAAATGCATTTTTGTCAAGATGTATTACAGTACCTACACTTTCCTGGTACAGAGTATCAAAAGAACACATGTATAATACAATGATTTGGTTTAGAGATTTATAAAAAAAAATCATTCGGGAGAAATTTCCTTGGACAGCTGTGCAATTTGTCACCACCTCTTTTTACAGCTGGTCATGAATGAAATTCTAGATTCTACTATGCTGAACTGAGAAAGCAACTGTGGCTGAAAATGTTCAAAAGGTAAAGGAAGAGATAGCAAAGGGGAGAAAGAGAGGGAGGAAAGCGGGAAGGGGAACCGGGGAGGGAAGAGAGAGGGAGAGAAAGGGAGGAGGAAAGGGGAGCGAGGCGAGCGAGGCAAGCAGGAAAGGGAGGTGAGGGAGGGAGAAGGCGAGTGGAGGGCAGAAAGGCAGCCTCCAGGTCTCTTAAACTGCAAACACGGTAAGAAAACACAAATGACACCAGGAAACAGATTCAGTTCGCAGTTAGAAAGAGGCGACAGGCAAGCTTAAGCTTGCACATGCATGGACCCACACCCACAAACAGAGCTATCCACAATCGTTACCGGAGGGAACCTCGGTAGTTTTCCAGGCAATTAATTACTCGTCAGGGTTTCACACAAAGGTAAAAACCCTGGAACTTCTGACACAACCTTGGCAACTATCGAGTCTATAAATGCACACTGCAGAAACTCCGTGCCTTTGTAGTAAAGCGAAAGTGGACATGCAAATCACTGAGCGGAGGGAAAGAATTTAGGCGCGAGAGATGCCTAAACAGGTCCAGGGACACCTGTTAAAGCAGGAAAGACAGGGTTCGGGGTTTAGGGGCTCAGGTTGTGACGGAGGATGAGAGTGGTTGAGCACTGCCACTCAGAGAGCTTGTATTGGGGGATTTGGGATGGGAGAGGGGCGAGAGGCACCAAGAAGCAACTAGGAGTGGTAGAAGGGTCCAGGAGGATGCTAGGGGGCCGTCGGTCAAACACCCCCAAGTGAAGCGAAGGCACAAAAGGCAATCGAGGCGGGCCAAGGGTGATTTGCGGAGTCTCTGGAGGCGGAGAAATCAAAGCGAGAGTTAGGAAGTGGGGGCCGGAGAGACCCGGGGAGCTCAGGTAGGAGAAACCCACAGAAGGCCCAGGCACGAGGGGCACCAGTCTCGAGCGCCCAGGTGAGGAGAGGGCGTAACCCCACCTGATACTCCGGGTACTCAAACATGTAGCTCATACTGCACTTGTTCTCTTCGAAGCCGAAGAAGACGTCCCATAGCCCCAGGCTTGCCATGAAGACCATGAAGACATAAAATGCCAGGTTCCAGAGGTTGACTGAGTGAAGAAACATGGTGCTGCCGCCACGGCTGCGACCGCCGCCGCGGGGCCCCAAGTCCTAACAGCGAGCAGGAACGCCCCGCCAGCCGCGCCAGCGCCCGTGCGAAGGCTAGGCAGCGCGCGCCTGCGCGGATGCCCGACCAGCCTGCGCGCCCGCCGCGCAGTGCGCCTGCGCAAAGCCGACCCGCTGCGCCTCCTGCCGGGCGTCCGGCTGAGAAAGGAGGCGGTGTTTGCGGCTGGAGCGCGCGTCCGCGCGGAGACGGGTGGAAAACGGCTGAGAGGGCTGGGAAGGAGGGAGAGGAAAGAGAGGAAGGAAGCGACGGGAGGGGAAGGCAATGAGAGGGAGCGCGGAAGAGAAGAATGGGGGACTAGAGACGGATGGGTTGAGCGCGGGAGGCCAGGAGGGGAAGGAAGTGGGGGCAACCGCCGGGTCGGGTAGGTTGACCTGGGGCGGCGGAGGCGTTTAGAGGTGTTGAGCGGCGCGAGCCAGAGCTGGGGGCGACTTCCGAGCCTTCAGCCGTCTTGCCGCACGCAGTCCCCTCTCCCTGCGCAGTTTGAAGATCCTTTTCGTTCAATTTTAAAACGCCCAGGCCGCTGCAATTTCGGTTATGCCCGCGACAAGAGAGCACATTCGCGGCTTTCTAGACCAGTTAGCTTGAAAGGAACAAATGGTTTTCCCCCCTCAAACCGCTTAAGTCCGCTCAGTAGGTAACGGGGCTTAAAAGCAGCGGCTCATTTAAAAAAAAAAAAAAAAACAAAAAAAAAAACAAAAAAACCAGCAGGTTCACACAATTCTGTACTTGGTAGAAGAAGAAAACCTGAATCACAAAAGGCATCGTTAGCCTTTAAAGAATATTACCAACATTTCCATTAACACTATCGATCCCAACAGGTATTTTGCGTGTTCAGTTTGATACTGACTGGCTTGCTCCCCCAGAACCTCCACCTCTCGGGAAACGTGAGGAAGCAATTTCGCTCTGACTCTCAAGTGACTTAATATGCACAGAGAAAAGGCTAAAATGCAGCTGGGGGAGGGGGGCGGGAAAGCAGCAACTTTAGAAACCATAATCATGTGTAACAGCTTCAAAATACGAAAACACTGAAGGAGATGGAATGTTATGAGGCGAAAAGCAGGGAATCACTCTTGAAAGCTGACCCAACCAGCACTGTGGGTGTGTTGGGGGGGGCGGTCCCTAACTGCAGAATCCCCTTTATAAATTATTTTAAACACTGACTGAAATTTAGTTCTCTTGGCGGAATTAAGTTATACATAAAAATGGAAAACATTTTTTTGAATAGGTGGATATTATCATAGAGGAATGTCTGCCCCTTATTTCTCCTAGCATAGCAAGACCAGCACAAATAAAACAAAGGTGAATCTATAATTTCATCCACCCCAGTGCTTCTTAAACTCAATGTACACATAAATCACTTGGAGATTTTATTTTAAAAGCAGATTCTAGTCCAGCAGCTTCAGATAGGGTCAAAATTTTGCACTTCTAACAAGCTCCTCAGTGGTGCCGATGGTGCTGGTGAGCGGACTACATTTGAGGAATCAAGATTTATGCTGCCTAAAGATAGTGCTTTTGGAGGAAAGCCTGTCCATGAAGATAACAAAGCATATTCTTTTTGTGGCTTTCATGGATTGTGGTAACCAGCTGCCTTGATTGTTCATTTAGACATGAATGTGATAGTGGCTCTTTATAATCTTTTTTGCCCCTACTGTAAAGGGTGGTCCCCAGAAAAGGGGAGGTCCCAGGTTCCCTACCCCACCCAAAGGAAGGTGGAGCTGAGCAAAGAGGAGAAGATTCTGGAGAGGTGACTGAGGAGGAAGGAAGCGGGATGGAGAGCCAGGAGGAGACCTGAAGGAGGCACATGGAGCAGAGATACATATAAAGAAGTGGCTTTTGTTTCTTGGCCCTGGACTGGGTGAAACAGACTTGAATGAGAGACCGGCATGGGAGGGGAGGTTCACTACGGCAGCTTTTATCGTGAGTTTTATTTTGCTCTTTTCCCAGACTAGTCTGGCCATTTCTGAACGTTTTCTATGGGTCCCAGCCAGAAGATGCTTTAGACTTGTGGCAGGCTTTCAGGCCTTGCTTTGGGGCAATCCCTTTAGGGCGGATTTTTACCCATGAGGGGATGGGTAACTCTGGGGGTTTGATTTAGAAACTGTATTCTTTGTATTTTCTGTATTGCACAGTAATTGTATTAAAGCACCTTTCCATTAAAGGCCTTATGTATTTTGTCTTGATGTGGTAGATGGCAGAACCTACTTAGAGTGGGCAGATTTGGGGGTTCAGGGGTGTCCCTCTCCTTGCCCTGTAATACTATTTGTTGTTTACTTTGCTTTTTCCTGTCATTATCCTTCTCAGGGTTTTTTGTTTGTTTTCATATTTAAACTAACCCTATAAGCATTACTTCACCATCCTCTGCCAATGCTGTCACCTTCCTGAATTCTAGTCTTTGGATCCCATTGTTTACAAACCTTCCAACTTGGTTCTGTATATCTGGCTCTGAGCTCCAACGGAGTTTATAGAAACCCTTCTGAAATAAAACAGCACAATCCTTTGACTTTCTGTTCCAAAATACTATGTGTGTTTCAGGTTAACTTCCACTCCTATTTTTCAAACCATCACTTTTTCAGCTTCTTATACTGTCTTTTCTTCCTCCTCTTTTAGCACAGTATTAATGAATAATCTTGAGTTCATATTCATAGAAATAATCTTTATTATTTCTATGCATTTCCTTCCATTTCATTCCCAAGTTCATTACCTGCATCCAGGTCTCATTCAGTTAATACATCTAAAGTGCTTGGAATAATGCCTGATATGTAGTGTTGGCATTATTATTATTACACTTTGCTGTCCTTAGAGAACATCAAAAGTAAATTCCTAAAGTTGCGTTTTAGCTCCCACCTGTTCTATTATCTTCAAGAAATTATTTCAATCAAGTTAAAATCTGTCAGTCAATTCCTGCCTGCATCTGTGCCTGGTAGCTCTTGCCTTCTCATCTTAGTCAGTGCTCCAACAGGTATGGCCAAATACTTATCTTCAGTTCTTTATCTTTCACCCACAGCCTGGCACTATAATTTTCTTCTCCTCCACTCCGCTCCAATGAAACTGCTCTCACAAAGGTAAACATTGACCTAATTACCAATGCCAAGTGACACTTTTCAGGCTTGATCTTTCTGCTACATTTGTCATTTCTTCCTTAAAACACTGTCCACCCTTATCCTCTCAGTTTGGTTCTAAACCCTGTTTTCAGTGGGGATTGTTCATTTTTTTAGATCCTCTTTGAATTGATCACATAGCACAGACTATAAAAGTAAAGTAAATGGGACTAGAAAAGTAAACTGGAGCCAGAACAATAGTTGACAAAGGAATTTGAGTTTTATATATACAACAAATAGAAGTTACTAAACACTTATTAAATGGGATATCTTCAGAGCTAATTGTTCAGGAAAACATGTTGCATCAATGTCCAGCTGCATCTCCAATCAAGACCAGCTATAAATATAGGCTATATATATATATATATATATATATATATTATAGTAGTATGTGTCCTAAACTTTTCTTCACTCCAGAACAACACTAAAGTATATTTGCAAGTGAAAGAATATGAGCTAGCAAAGAATGACCTTAAATGAGGAGAAGAAAGAGAAACAAAAAATTTTCCCCAGAAATATGAGAAAACTGAAATGGAGAAGCTCTTATTAGATTATTTTAATCTCTATGTAGGAATAAGCATCCAATGGGTGAGAATAGGGCTCTGAGTGCAAGTCAGTTCTGCAATGAGTAAATATATTTGAAAATTACTGTTTTAAGAAGTAAGTGGGGCCCTCCCTGGTAGTGCAGCAGGTTAAAAGCAAGCACTAAGAAGCTAAAGCTACTTCAACATGAGTTTGATCCCCCCTGCCCCGGAGGTGATCCACATGGCACAGCAGACCTCTCCTGTATCACCTGCTGGTCCCCTCAGCAGTGTACTTCGTCCACCTGCCTGTTCAGCAACTCATTCTCTGGTGAATCCTCTCACCGCCCCTGCACCCCTGGCCTGTATCCCAGTTCTGTATGCATGAATAAGTAAATCTTTAAGAAAAAAAAAGTAAATGGTCAGTTAGAGGGAATCAATAATATCCAGCAGTGATCTTCACTTTTTTGTGGTCTTCTTAGCTAACATGTATATCTTGCTTTTCTGTATGTTACAAGGCAAAATAAAAAATATCACAGACATTTGATTGACTATAGTGTGCCAAGCTCCTGACAGGGCTTGAGATAAAAATGATAAGTGACAACCACCCATTTCAATGAACTAATAGTTTATAAGTTTCCTACAATATGGTGTTAGAAATATGAACAAAGGATACTGGTGCGCAAAAATGTTAATAGTAACTTATGGGTAAAGCGATTCCAGAGAAGAATGATTTATATACATAATATAGTAGGGATTCAGGGAGTCTATTGAATTATCGAGTGAATGAATCAATAGATAAATAAATGGCTATGGTTGGAAGAATTGAGAAGGTGAGCATCCCACAGTTCCAAGTGCAAAGCAACTTTCCAACACATCCTGAGAAGAAGGCAACTTCCCAGTTTACACAAAACTTAAATGTGGAGGGCCCTCCCCTGGTGGCTCAAGAGGTTAAAGCACAGCACTTCAAAGCTAGCCACAGCTGCTGCCCACAAAATCAATCCCCCACCTGGGTGGTAACCCCCATGGGACAGAAGACCTCTCCTGTCTTTATGTACCACCAATCCCCTGAGCAGTGTATTTCAGTTGATCTGCCTGTTCTGCTTCCCACTTTATCTCTGGTGAATCCTCTCACTGTCCCAGCCCCTCTGGCCTGTATCCCAATCCTATATGCATAAATATATCTTAAAAAAAAAAAAACTTAAATGTGGCTATTAAGGCTACATTAGCCAGTTCTTTCATTTAGTTGCATGCTCACATAGTATTTAGTTTTGTACACTGTAAATCTTATTTTTAAAACTAGATAAATTTCTACAAATTGTGTGAAAGTCAAGTATTTGCAAAAT